TATGGGAGCAGGGGCAGGAAAAAGTGCATAGAGTGGGAGTGATTTCTGGGGTGGTTTTCAGGGCTGAGAAGTTTAGGGGACACTAGTCTGTCCTAGAAATGGCATCAGATCAGTTTTCTTTCTAATGAATCTGGAGTAAGACTGTAGGTCTTTCTACACTCCAGGGTGTTCTGGAGTGCAAAGGACAGTTCCTGCCTCCTCCCATTTCCAGGTGAAAGCCTTTTGATGCCAACATCAGTCTGCCATCAGCCTGCCAAGTGGGACAGACTGAGGGCCAAGCTGGGGGAGAGGCTCTGGTTTGGTGCTCCTAGGGCTCCTGCTCGGGCTGTCACTTAGAAGAGCCCACCCAGCTGCTACACCTCCATACCAGCCTCCACGTTCCTGAGCCCAGGATCGTGGAACAGAGAGTCGTGTGTATTCATGTATGTTGTGTGTGTGTGTGTGTACATATGTAGGTATGTCTGTATGCACGTACACAAAAAAGTAGATACAAACATACATAAGTATGTCCATCTTAAGAAGAGTATTCTTTCCACTGACCATCTCCCTTTGCCAAGCCATCTCTCAGAGCTCCACAGTATTGTTGTTCTGTTATTCGGGCAGCAGAGGGCGTGGACAGAGGGAAGCGGGACCTGGTGCATTTGTCAGCTGCTCTGTGGGTCCCCAACCAGTCTCGGGCAGCCCACCAAGCAAGAAAGAAAATGCAGCCGTTGTGAATGAAGCTGATACAAATGGACAAAAACCAGGAAGCTTAGCATTTTGCTCTCGGATTTCCTGTGTTTTCAGCCGGTTTACATCTGTTGAAAATTAAGGTTATTTTTAGGCACAATGGACTTCTTTCTCCTGCCTACACTCTGAGAACTTCCTTTGAAGTTATGGATTGAAAATATCTGTCTCACATCTCATGTGATTGAAGTAACGCATGTGGTACTTTTGAATCCCAAAGAAATCATTTTCTAGCCACAAGGACTTGATCATATCAGTGTTATTGATTCTCTGAGCAGTCCTGGCTCATCCCTGAGTGGTCCATTTTAAATGTACAGAAATGAGACTCAGCTGAAGGCGCTGTGGTCTGCTGCTGTTTCGCTGCAGAAGTCTGGGGAGATTCTACCCTGATTGGTCATGTATTGTTTCTTTTGAATGTTGTGCACTTGATGTTTATATTTTTAATGCATCACACGCATATACCCTAGCACATTTTTTTCTTCATTTAGGATGTTGACGAAGTTTATGCTGGAGATATCTTTGCATTGTTTGGTATCGATTGCGCCAGTGGAGATACGTTCACAAACAAAGACAATATTAATCTCTCCATGGTGAGTTCCGTGGCTTTAGGGCGGTCATCGCTTGACTTGGCAAAATACGTGTTTTTGTGCGGTCCATTTAAACTCAGAAAAGCATGAAAACTCTTTTTGTTGAGTCTTACCATTTGGGCTATTCGGATACCATAGTTAATGACCTTTTTTTTGTAACCACTGAAAAATAAAGGTCCAGTCTGGGTACCTAGAGAGAGGTGGTATCCAGGAGAAGTTTCCATGCTTTGGAATCTTCTGTATTTCCTGGTCTTTCTCTTACAGATGAGGACAGTGATCGTTTCACTGTCTTCCCCCCCCAAGTAGAATTGAGGCTTCCTGAGGGAGAAGAGGCCTCGTATTTTCGTCTTTATGTTTTTGCCTGCCACATATTAGGTGCTTGTTAAGTTGGTTGCTTGGTTGATGATTCCTTTGTTGGTGAATTAGCCCTTTAAAGTTTCCGAATTGGGATTTTTGTTTTTATTTTAAAATTTGAAATCATTATCTAAGCATCCAACCAGAGAATCTTGGAACTGCACTGACCCAGATTGTGCAGACCTAGTTCACTGTCGTCCTAGCTGTGTGTCAGGCTTTGTACTAAATAAACACTGTGGATGAAAGGAAGGCAAAGCAGACTCTTCCCTCAGGGAGCTTACCTTCTAATGAATGAAGGCCCTCCTTTGGGGAATAAAACTATGGTTTTTTGCAGAGAGTATCATATTTAGAGACTTGTAAGGAAACTGAGCCCCACACAGAGCTCGGATTCCCACCAGGGCTCGTTAGCTGCCTCGGTGACCGTAGTTTGGGAGAAAACACACAAGACCTGTCCTTTGTGCTCCTCAGTTTGTGTTTCTCTGTGTAATTCTCCAATCTGTTCCAACCTAAACTAGAACTTATTTCTTAAACAATCCTAGGAGTCAATTCATGTCCCTGATCCTGTCATTTCCATATCAATGAAGCCTTCTGACAAGGTAGGCAGTTTTCTGAAAGACGTGCCCCGTCCCCACCTGCTTCTTCATTGGCCTCCTTTAGTTTGTGCTGCTTTTTCTTAACGTTGGAGTCAGTTTTTGAGTTTTCTGATCTACTGAATGAATGTTGGGGAGCAACAGAAATACTGGGTCTGGGGTCAGGACGTTTGTTCAGATCTTGGCTTTGCCACTTGATATCTGAATGACCCGAGGCAAGGAGTCACTTGCTCTCTTTAGGCCCAGCTCTGCTGATATGAGTCTTCCCGTGGAGAGGTCCCAGCTAGTGTACAGAGCTTGTCTCTAAGCCGCAACAGGATTGTTTTCAAGGAGGAGTTACCAGGATTGGCAAATGTGTAGTGTCTGAGGGTTGGAAGACACTATAGAGACCTGAGCAAGAATCCTCTCTATGACCCAGCTGACAAATAGTCATGTAGGCCTCTCTTGAAGACCTCCTGTGAGGAAGAAACCTCTTCAGACCTCCTGAAGCAGCCCACTCAGAAGGTCTAGGTCTGCCCTCTGGAAATCAGCTGCGGTGGTTACAGATGGGAGCAGATTGTATGTCACCTGAAGGTCCTGGTTAGTGAATGTCCCTTCCCTTGCCATCTGCTCATTCATCAAGGGTTGAGGATGTCATGTCTAGATGGTGAATACTTTTAGGTTGCTATCATCATGGCAGATGTCAAACCTTCCTACTTGTAACCACTGGTACGAAGGCTCCAGTAGGGGAGGGGAAGACCTTTATTTCCATTTTTTTCCTTTCAGTAATTCCTTCAGGGCTGTCCTCTGTCCTGGTGAGTGAGTAAATCTGGACAGCTGGATTGTGGTTTCTTGTCAGGACAGAAATTAATGGGCTCTGTGGGGCAACTTTTCTACACCAACCATGTTAAATACGTCCCAGTGGTCCCCGGCTTCTGCTGCAGGCCTAGCCTTTCTAGAATTTGTGCCTGGTCCCGAAGTTTTGCTCAGACCTCCCTTCCCTTTTCAGAACGGACCACTTTTTCAGTGTAGTAGGAAAGAGAATGAGGCTTAACACAAACTTCAGGTGCCTGTTTTCCTTGTGAAAGGGCAGAAAAGCAGAAAAGTTCCTCTCCTCCTGTTGACTCTGCAGGTATCCAGTGTTAGCCCATGGAGTATGAGATGTCTTCCTTCCCCCAGAACCCTGAGGTCTTTAAGGGAAAAAAAAAACAGCCACCATGGGAATAGACTTTTTTGTTTTTTCACTTAATTCAGTCGTCTTGGTCCTTGAAATTCAAGTATGTCTAAGAATAAGATATGGATTGGTTTGTGTCTTTGAAACTATGCAAATAATGTAACTTTTTGCTTTTTCCTTTGAAAAGAATGATCTGGAGAAATTTTCAAAAGGCATTGCCCGATTTACAAGAGAAGACCCTACATTTAGGATCCACTATGATCTTGAAAGCAGAGAGACCATTGTTTCTGGAATGGGAGAATTACACTTGGAAATTTATGCTCAGGTAATGACCGCTGTCCCCCTGGCCAGGCCCTGCCACTTTGTGTGTCACACCCTTACTTTTGTAGAGGACAAGATTGGAGAGCGAGCCAAGGAGGCTGTGCTGGGATTTCCCTGGCTTATGTGGTGAGCTCCCCTACCAGCCAGGTTGGCATCTTCTGAGAGCTTCAGTGACCTGCAGCTCTGTTGGAGGTGAGGTGTGAACCCAGATCTCCTGGCTCTGTCTACAGTGCCCGCTGCCTCTCTTGACATAGACCTGCAGTTGTGTGCAGGGGTGGGGGGGGTCTGCCTGGGCCTCACCCAAGAGCCCCCGTCACCTCCTCCCCCTTCTTTGACCGCTTTTCAATGTGGGCTCTTCTGGAGGGAGTAACTGGAGACGGACAGAGCAGGGATTTCTCTAAAGATTCCTGACCTCCCTAAGAATGGCCTAGTGACTTGCATAGGTTTTGGAAACCTAATTTTGTTTGTGTGATTTAAATATACCGTAAAAAACTGTCCCATTTTGATCTGTATTTTTTTATGTTGAAATGTAGTGAAAAGCCTCAGTACACCTATACTTTTTGTTTTCCCGTACTCCACTCCAATAACCCACTCCAATGAATTGTAAATAAATTTTTAATTTATAGCAGACATTCACTAATATTATTTAATTAGGAACATGCCAGTTTGAACTGGAAAAAAAACTCTTTCTAAAGCACTTGTAAAAATGTGGGATTATTTTGCTTTCCATTAGTCATAGTCACATGCCAACTCTCCATCTGGTTACTTTCTTTTATGAATAGATAAATATATATAATTAACATTTCAACTTTATAAAAGCAGGTGCTTCTGCCCACTGATCTCACTCCCCTCTGTGCCTGCCATGTTTACCCCCTCCCGCAGCAAATTGGTTTATATTAATCTACATTATCTATGAATGATTTGCTAATTAAGCTTAGGTAAATGACAATTCAGCACTAGTCTGAATTATCACTGCTTCTCAAGTAGTAATTCAGAATTAATGAGGTTAACTCCAGCTTCAGAATTCATAATTATTCCACTTTCCAGTGTAGACCTAACAATCCAATTTGCAGTGAGGTGTTTGGATTGTAAACGTTTCTGGTTTATAAGAATAACTTGATGACTTTTGCTTGTCTCTTTCCCCTCCCCTACACACTTTCCCTAGAGAATGGAGCGAGAATATGGCTGCCCTTGCATCACTGGAAAGCCCAAAGTGGCCTTTAGAGAAAGCATCACTGAACCTGTCCCGTAAGTACACCATACCATTGATCTAGTTAGACATGAATTGAAGTGTTTATTATGGAGTCTGCACAGTAGTACACTGCGGGCTGGACACTGATACGTCACTGTCTTGGGAAGGGTTTGGTTCCCAAGCTAAAGGTGGATGGATGAATGGCACGAGCAGGTACGTTGGTGACTGCATGTTGCTGCTTATTCCGGTTGGGCCTGCTTGGGTTGACGGCTGTTGTGTTTCACTTTAACTCCATACTGGGGATGCCAGAGGACTTGCATTTGCCAAGGAATCATTTCCTAGGGAGGAAAAATTAAACATAAGGTGAAGTTCTTAAGATATTTAAGGAAACATACTTGGCATTTTACTGAAAAGAAATGCAAGATATCCTTTGAGTTGTGCTGATGGTCAGTCAATTAATCAATGAGGATTTTATGTGGCAGGTCTCTGTGAAGCAGTAGGAACTCAACAAAAAAAAGCAGCTTTACTGCCTTCAGGGATGGGGGAGACAAGATGTATACAGGTGTAGGCACACACTAGATATGTCCGGGTCATCCCTGAGGAAAAGGCACTAGCAGCTGACAGTTGCCTTACTGACTGGCTCCCCAAATCACACGTGAAATGAAAGATCCATCAGCAAGTTGGCATTTTCTCTAAAAACTCAGTTCCTGAGGCAGAGGTATGGTGATGTTACTTTACCTGAGATGCAATGTCATGAAGTAGGATGGTATAGTCTAATTCAATAAAATCATCGTTTCTTTTCTGTAACAAAAATAAAGACAGCCCACATTCAAAACACACTTTTCCTTAGCAAAAACAGTCACTTTTTTTTTTTTGGTTAGGCAATGGGGCTTAAGTGACTTGCCCAGAGTCACATAGCTAGTAAGTGTTATGTTTCTGAGGCCGGATTTGACTCAGGTCCTCCTGAAGCCAGGGCCGGTGCTCTATCCACTGCGCCACCTAGCTGCCCCAAAAAGTCACTTTTTAATGAAAAAGAAATCAGCTTTCATTTTGAGATGCATAGAATGCAGATCACAAGATGGCTCAAACTTGAGCTGAATTCAGGGGGCAGTCTGGAATAATGGGAAAGAGCTCCCTAGTGAGTTCTGAATGGCTGTGCTCCTGCCTTAGCTGGGGCACTTGGGCCAAGTGGAGGCACCTCTGTAGGGCTCAGTTTCCTCTTCTGCAAAGTGAGGGGGTTGGGCTTGATGACCCCCCAGATCCCTTCCAGCCTGAGTTCATTCTCTAATTCTGGCTTTCCTGGGACTGGTTTAATTAGCACTCTTCACAAAGCACCACAAGTCTGTTTTCTGTCTGCCCCCATAGACACTGTTTGTGCCCTCTGTGATGTTAGTCTCCTCGTTATTGTGACAGCTGCATGAGAACTGTTAAAAGACTAGTTTATTATTTAAGAACCCTGAGAGCATCCGTCATTATTCATGAAAGCAGAGCTCAAGGTTGAAATGAGTTATTTGTAGTAAAGCAAACACATGTTTCTATGGAAAGCTTACTCTGGAAAATCTAGAAGTTGTGATAAACACAATGTATATGTTTACTGAGTTTTTTAATTAAGGAAAGCTAATTAGACATTGGTTTATCCTGTGAGTAGAGCTTCTGGCTCTTCAAGACCACTAATGTCTATATTAGAATATTTCTCAATTCGTTAGGAGATATGGCTGTTTTCGTGTGATTGCATTGTCATGTAAGGAGTGTTTCTGTTTAAATGAGTTGGCTTGGATGCTTCAAAGGGCCTTCCCGGCTCTCAGCATGCAATTCTGCTTCGTGATCTTTTCTGTGCAGATTGGTAGTGAATGTCTTAAAACAGGGGAAGGTTGGCTTTGCTTTTGGTTGGCTCTGCAGAAACCATTTCCTTTGACTGTTAAGGGAGTGCAGCCAGTAGTCTGCCTGCTGTAGTAGCGAGACATTTTATGGGAAAATTGGAACCTTTCTGTTAAGGTAGTTGGTGTGACTCAATGTTCTCGTCTGGGTCCAGGCTCTATAAAATCCCTAAAAATAACTTATGGATGTGACATTCTATAAAAACATTTAAAAAGCAGGGATCTATTAAAAAGTCAGTGGTTATTTGTGATTTTCATTCCCTCGTTAACTTTAGCAAGTACATCATTTCTCTGTGCCTCAGTTTTCCTGCTTTTTTTTTTTAAGGAAATAATATGTTTCTAACTTCTCCGTGGATTATTGTCAAATAATATGGAAGATGGGTGAAGGAAATTAAAGCCCTGAGAATGCTAGGTCATCAACATAATATTGCTGAAAATGTGACATGGCTTTGAGTTTTGACAGAACAGTTCTTGTAATCTGGATTTAAGGGTCATTTAAAATTTGTGTGAGCCAATGGAGAGAAGTACTTAAATGTCCATTGTAATTGGTCTTGTTACAAAGCAAGTCAACCACATGCAACAAGTTAGCTAAAGGGTTTTATTCCTATTGTAGAAGTGATTAGTTGTGTGGCAACACAATACTTCTGCATTTGAATTTTTACTTATATGAAAAATAAAACTGTAATGAAAGGGTAGGAAGAAGGTGGTTATTTGCAGTCAGGGGCTTTTTCCCCCTTTTCTCCTTCCCTTCAAATTCAACTCCTTATATAGTTAATAGTCTCCCTTTTTGACTTTTGAAGCTGAAAAGCAAAAATTTGTAAAAACTCCATAATGTAGTAGTAACAACGATCGAAACAGTTAAATTTACAGACCTTGGAAGGCTCAAAGAAAGGTCTCAGTAGGAACTGATGACTTAGAGCCGATGCGGTTCATTTGCAAATATTGAGTTGAAAAGGACAGATGCCAAACGTGATCTGAGCAGGTTGGAGCACACAACTTGGGAGAGTAATTTTACTGTTTTTTGGGTGTCTTTAATAAAGTAAAACTAAGTTGTGTGGAATACGGAATTACTGATAAAACTGAAAGGATTAAAATCAAAGTATTTGTGATTAAAGAATCTGAAACTGAAATAGCAAAATATAAATGACTTAATAGAAGACCTATGCCCAGGCAATGTGTTCTAAATAAGTTCTCAGAAATACCTACTAGTCGATTTAATTTGTGATTGAATAAAAAGTAGCAGTGTTGAGATGCAGTTAAGAGCTAGTAGGAGAGGAAGAAGCACACACCAGTGGGTGAGTATGCTTTTTTTTTTGTTTTTGTCCAGACCTGGACTTTCATTGGTGTGCTGAAGTCCTGCTGATACATATTGGCAGCATGTGTCTATATATGTGTGTATGTGTGTATATATTTTTTTTTAATCTAGCGTTTGCATTATTATCTGACTCTCGTTGTCAAAAGTTTTAGGTGAGATCTTTTTTATGTAGTTTGAGTCTCTCTTTTGGATACATGGGAGTGGTCATTTTCCTAGATGGAGCATGTAATCTCTGATCACCACTGCCTCTGCATGACTATTGCAGCTAGTAACCCCCCAGGAAAATATCCTGCCCCTTACCATCGCCATGCTGTCTCCTAAACTTGTGTGCAGGAAATGCAAACTAAATTTCATGTCAGGCTGAAATAACTATACATAATTGGGAACAAAAGTGTGCTGCAAATAGTTTCATCATCGTATTCCAGAGCCAGATATTAATGATTTCTGTATTACTCTTTACGCTGCTTGCTCCCCCTCAGAGTGGATGTTTAAGCATTGATTTGGGGACATCTGCGTTTCCTGTTTTGCTAATTATATGGTCACAATGGATCTTCAGTTTTATCCCCAACGTCTTATGGTCCAAAAGTTGCTACTCACCACTTGCTTGACAGTTTGTATTTTTGCCATTTTATACCATGTGTCTTCGGTGGAATTCTGCCATATTATGTAACCACAGGCCACCCAAGCTAGGTGTCGGACTGGTTTCATTTCTGGAGAGACGTTCCCAAAACTGTCTGTTGGGGGGAAACATTCATAATGGTAAATGCAGCCACCATTTTATCGACACAGTAGCAAGCGGCGCACAATTCCAAATCAGAAGTTGAGCTTTCCTCTCAGCTATAGAAAGTTGAGAATCTCCAAAGTTATGTGCAGAAAAACCATGAAAAGTGACTGCCTGCCCACTCTTAAGCACCCCCTTGTCGTTTGACTCAGTTACCCTTTGTGCCAAAGCTGAATCTCCTGAACCCGAGAGGGAACCAGGGGGATGCCGCCCCAAGCAATCAGCTTGGCATCAGAAGACCCAGGATCCATTCCTTCTCCCTTTCCAGCTGTGGGGTGCTGGGTCTGCCTGCCGTTTCTTGGGGTCCTATCTGTCCAGTGGAGATGGTGCTAACTTGACCTACCTCACTCACAGAGCTTTTGTGCAATGTGAATAGCCGCTGGTATTTTAAAATTGGGCTATGGATGACTCCATTTTACCTTTGAAATTAGAAAATAAGGTCTGTATCATTTTTATATGTACCTGGAATATTCTTTGCTTCCAGTGGTTCCTTCATGGATTTGAGTTGCTCATAAAATTTATTGTCTTCCTCATCTGGGTTCTTCCCAATCTCCCCCTCAAACGTGAAGTCCACTTCTGGTGCAGTGCTTTGTCCAGCTGTTGGGTAGAGTACTTGTGCTCGGCAGTTCACAGTAATTTGCTGTTTAAAATATATTTACACAAAGTTCATATCTGTAGAATGCAGTAAAGGTCTTATCCTGGTGCTCTGGGTCAGAATACTCTGTTGTCTTTTTATTGCTCTGGGCTGGTTCTGTGATTAATCTGGGTGTCCATTAATCAGGGTGACTTATTTGGCCCCACTCTGTGCTCTTCTAGAAGAAGCATTTAAATGCCCTGATATGTGTGTGTGTCTGTATACATGCATACACACACGAACATCCTGTGGAATCCTCATACTCCAACTTGCATTGTAACACCAAATATTTTTAAATATGAATAATAACCATTTGCAGAACCAGATTTCAAAGTGAAATCACCCCGAGTCCCCTCCCTTTACAGTATCAAAGTGAGGTGCTAATGAGGAAAATCAAACATTTAGGTTTATTATTGGCTTCTGAAAGTACCTCATCTCTCATCCCTTAGGAGAAGGCAGCAACAGCTCATACTGTTTTAAAGGTGGTTGGTTGTCTAGTAACATGGATGCCTTATATTATCATTCTTATCTGACCCAGTATCTCTCTGGATCCTGTTTGACATCTTGTGCCAATGGCAAAACTTAAACTCTGAGACTACCTCATGTCAGTCTTTATCAGGGCAATGGCCCAAACTTCCCTTTTCTTGCCATATTAACATTAATATGTTTTACTAAGCCTATTTGATGTCTTACTATCTTTGCTATTATGTTAGGAAGGATATTTGTCCACTGGTATCATTTGGCCATTTTATTACTCATAGATACCTGGAAGTAGACATTCGCTCCTCCTTCCCTCCAACCCCTTGTAAATCAGAACAGGAATGAGGAAAGCAATTTGAAAAAATAACTATAATTGAAAAAGCATATTCCTTCAAGGTAGTTCCAGTAAAGCCGTGGACAGTCATGTTATCCACAAGATCAGACTAACCATGATCATATCTTGTTTGAAATGGATGATTTGTTTTATATATAATGCAGCAAAAATTCCCATTTCCCCATTGGGTCTTTGAGTATACAGACCACAAAGCTCCTCCAGTATAGGTTAATATTTCAGTATTTAGGAGGCAAGGATTTCATCTTGTCTTTTAAAATAGGGACCAAAAACAGCAACCTTATGTTCTGTTCAAAGATTAACCCAAATCACATTAAAAAATGAAGTGTTACTTACTTTCTGGATGATTTCTTCCACGGAAAATTTCAGGTGGTACTTATGTCCACTTCCTGGAATGTCCTGAATTAACAATGTAGAGAGAAGGGAAGAGAAGAATAGCCTTTCTCCTTCTCTGGTTTGGGAGGGGGTGCAATCCGGTCTAATTTGTTAGGGGACCTGGGACCGTAGGAAGCAGTAAAGATGTGCTCGTGTGGGTAGCAACAGCGGGTTTGCTGGTCAGGGAAGGCATTTCAGAATGAGAACAGACCTAAGGAAGAGCCTGGGAGAGAGAGGGTTCCATACACAAGGGGCAAGCACAGTCGGATTTTTCAGATGATTTTAGCAGCTCGCCCAGTCAGGACCAGTTAGAGCACCAAGCTCTCGTCCAGCCTCCCCCCTTAGCCCCGTGAATGGCGGCTAGCGGAGCGGTCCGAGCGGCCGCATGGGAGCCGGAGGCTTGGGGAGGGAAGCGGGGCTCTCAAGCCCCGGGAAATGCTCTCCCCTGGAATCATCCAGGCCGTCCGGTTTGGGAGCTGTTGTGGCTCCGCGTTAGCCAGACTTTTGTGACACAAACGTGTTTGTGACCACGGCCGGCCGCAGTGAAATGCACACAAGGGGCGCTTCTGCTGGGTCCGCGGGCTGGCCAGCCCCTGCAGACCATCGGGGAGGGAGGGGACGGGCTCTGGTGTGGCGGTACGGTGTGGAAGTGGGGCTTCCAGCCTGGGCTGGGGTTTTACCCGCCGGGATTGGTGACAGCTCGTCCCTCACGCATCGGGCATTTCTCATTTCGTTGGGCGCCCCCCCCCCCCCCCCCCCCCCCCCCCCCCCCGCCCGCCTTTCGGTCTTAGGAATGTTAATTCTGGGAAGGATGGGGGGCTGTCGTGGGAGGAGGCTTTTGGCCGCCAGCTGGCCGACCCCTCCACCTGCTGCTGGCTCGCCGGCTGCAATAACCGCCCCGATGAATTAACTTGACGATCTGAGCTTTGAAAACCAAGAAGTGGGCCCCGAAGAAGCAGCCCTGGGGAGTGGGAGCGGCCCGGGAGCGGGAGGAGGCAGGCGTGGCTAAGGGATTTCCCTGCCGGCGGACACTCACCTCCAGGCTGGCCTGCGTGACCGTCTGAACCAGGAACACCTTGTGCGGGGTGCCCTGCTGGTAGTTGATGCAGTTCTCCGCCACCGAGGCCGCCCGGGCTGCGGGGAAGTGGGTCGGGGGGATCTCCATCCCTGGCCTCGAGCAGCGGCTGCCGGGGCGCGGCTGGGCTGGGGCTCCGGGGTCCGCCGACGGACAGATGGGCAGAGGATGTGGAGACGCGAAAAAGGAGGCGGCCACTGGCGGGCTGGGCGGCGGGGGCGGAGACTCCTCCACTCTCTCCTCCTTCCTCCTTCCCTCCCTCTTCCCCTCCTCCCGGGAGGCAGGAAGCAGAGCCCGGCCAGCCGTGAGCCCTCTGGGCTCCTCCCGCCTTGGCTTCCTCTGGTTCCTCTGGCTGCCCTGGGCGGACCTCCACTCACTGCATCCCCTGGGATTTTTTCTTTTTAGCGTTTGTGTGGTCCATACCCCGAGGCAAGGGCTCAGCTCTGGGCGGGGCCGGGCGGGGCCGGGCGGGGCGGGACGGGACTCTGCCCTTTGCCCCCCCTGCCACGCAGCTCGCTCTCCTTGAATGAAACCTGTTAGTAGGCCCAGGGGAAGTGGCTCAGTTTCCATGCTCTTTTCCCTCTCTGGCCACCCACCCCAAGTAAGTTGGCACCCCCAAACAGGGAGCCGTCACAATCGGTGGCTTGTGGCTTTCCCAGCCTGCGACTTGGGGTTTTCAGCTTAGGTGATTTACTTGTCATCTCTGTACAGAGAACTCTCCAAATTATACCCCCTACCCTAATCTCTCCAACACCAAATCCAGATCACCAAAAACCCACCGGGCTTCCCTACCTGGATATTCCTAGGCATCTCAGACTCATCAAATCAGAAGTGAAATTCTTCCATCAATTAAAAATCATTTCCTAAGGCTAGCACCAGAGTTGGTGTTAGGTTCTGGGCTCAAGAGACAAGTGAAAGTGCCCCTGGTCCGAAAGGGCAGTACTAAGGCATGACCAGGACTCGAGGAAGCCAGAATCACTGCTTTCTGTTCTTGATGTTCCTTAAAGAGCCATCTAGAATTTTCTGAGGAATTGAAGCTAAGCTCGCTGGCTATAATTTGTAAACTGGGCCAGCATTTGTCCTCCAGGCCTTCAGAACCTCTCCCATCTTTGGTCTTTCAGATGTCACTGACAGTGGCTCATGATCCCATCTGTTCATTCTTGGAGTAATCAGGGACTTCATCCGGGCCAGGTGATTTGAATTCATCGAGGGTAGTAAGGGGCAATGAGTATTTACTAAGTACTTAATTCTGTGCCAGCCTCTGTGGAGTTGGAACTGAAAAAGGCCTCCTTCCAAAGGGGGCCTGGGAAGGCCAAAGGGAGAGCATTCCAAGTGTTGTTGTCGTTTGGTTGTTTTTCAGTAGTGTCTGACTCTATGACCCTATTTGGGTTTTCTTGGCAAAGATACTGAAGTGGTTTGCCGTTTCCTTCTCCAGCTTATTTTACAGATGAATAAACTGATGCAAACAGGGTTCAGGGTCACACAGCAGTAAGTGTCTGAGGTTGAATTTGAACTCAGGAGGATGAGTCATCCTGACTTCAGGTCTAGAACTCTTTCCACTGTGCCACTAGCTGTCCTCCAAATATGGTGGACAGTCAGTGAAAAGGCCCAGGAAGTCAGATGTGTTGTGTGTGAGGCATTGCAAGTAATCAGAATAGCTGAATCACAGAGGAGACAGAGAAGTGGAGAGTGTAAGAAAGACAGAAAGATAGGAAGTCCTTTTCCTATGCCTATACCAAATAGAAAGCTTTATATTTTGGGCAGTAATATGGTGGGACTTGTGCTTTAGGAAAATCACTTTAGTGACTGAATGGAGGGTGGACTGGAATGGGGAGAGTTTTGAGGCAGGCAGATGTTTTCAGTGGTCCAGGTGAGAGGTGACAGGGGCCTGTGCCAGGATGGGGGGCGTCGTGAGGGCAGAGGACACATATGTGAAAAATGTTGGAAAGGTAGAAAGGACAAGATTTGGTATAGGGGCAGGGGAAGTGAGAGAGAGGGGGAGATGACACTGAGGGTGGTGGAGCTCGGCACTAATGGGAAAATGGAGAAGACATTTGGGGTATCATCTTAGGAGCTATTTTGGTTCTGCCTTCTCCAAAGGTCCTTCTTTTGGGTAGAGAAAACAGTAGTGAAATATGAACTGATCATCAATTCCTGCTCTGTTGGCTGTTGACATCCCCCCATCCACTCCCAGAAGCAGGCCTTGCCCTTCTTAGGTTTTCCTCTTTCCTTCAATAGAACTTTAAAAGACGGTCATCTCTTTTTGATTGTTCTCAGCTTTCCAGGCCAGCCTCAGCTCATTCTGAGTGTTGGCAGCCTACCCTGAGTTCTGCAGGACCAGGCCACACTCTTAGAGTCATCCTATGGCCCCCTGGCCTTGCCTCCGTATTCTCTGCATTTCCTTTTACAGTCTAAGTTGGGTTGGCGAACCAGGCCACTGCACACCTGTCTTAAGCGACCACTTATTTTAACTCTTCGTCAAATACAACTTCATTCTTGAGAGTTTTTTACCCACCTTGATTGAATTCTCCTGTAGAATTTTAATCCAAGGGACCTCTTTTTCTTTACTGAAGGAAAGAGAGATATGGTGGAAATATCCTTAATTTTAATGACAAAAAATGTTGTAGAGGAACAGCTAAGAAGGGGTGGGGGGGGCTGGAGTAATACATTGGCTCCCCAGAGACCCAGAAAGGTGCCCAAGGAAAGCCTGGGACACAGGGCAGATTCCCTCCAGGGGATCCATGGGAAAGCATTGCCAGCAATCACCCCTGAGGAGCAGAGGGAGAAGGGAGTGTAGTTTTCACTGGTGGAGGGAGTGGCCATGTTAGTGAAATCCTGGGTCCATTAAAATAGCAAGAGATGCTGTCACTTTTGTGTCTCTCTTTACTTCATGTACAGGTTTGACTTTACTCATAAGAAACAATCTGGGGGTGCAGGCCAGTATGGGAAAGTGATAGGCGTCTTAGAACCTCTGGAACCTGAGAACTACACCAAGCTGGAATTTGTAGACAAAACATACGGGACAAATATTCCAAAGCAGTTTATTCCTGCCATAGAGAAGGTGAGAAAATTAACTTTGGTTTGTTTTAACAGTGGGCTGACTAACTTTTGACTTAACATCTCATCTCATTCCTCTCTAAATTCTTTGCCTTAATTATAGCTTTGTTCTTATAGCTGACCATTATTAGACTTCTCATTTGATTGAAGGAATTTCTTTTCTTTAATTATGTGGCCAATAAATTGACGCCTTTTTGAGGTTAGTAAGAGATTGTACTTTCTCAATGATAGTAAACTGTAGCTGTCTGATAATAACTTGAAAAATGTTTAGTTGGTTGCTAATAAGTCCTAGTAAAATAATTTTAAAAATTGGAATCTTTACTTATTATGTATGTTTAGTTTCATGGACTTTGGCTGTTTTATTTTTCTCAATTTACCTGTTTTGGGGCAGAATTTAAAGTTGCAGCTGATTTTTGTTTCTTGTTTAATTCCAAAGTTTTCTCCCCCTTTTTAAATTAGAGGTTCCTTGTCGACAGGCTGTACTTTAGGTAGCATTGGCTAATACTTCTGTGGATTTTGAGTTTTTCCTTGTACTTCTGTTTCAGTCATATGTGTCCTTTGTACTCTTTCCAGTGTTCTCTGTTCAGTAGCCTGCCTCAAGTAGGCAAATATTTTTGTTTTAATTACATAGAACTGAAATTTATAAAACCTAAAGAAATATACTCTTACATTACAGCTCCGTGGAAATGGCAGGTTATTACATCTTCCACACTTCAGTCCTTGTGGATGTTGTGGACCATTTAAAGGCATGGTCTGTTACTGTAGGCCTATTACTTGAGAGAGTGGGATCTATAGTGCAAACTCACTTTTGATGGAGGTTTTGTAGTGGGATGTGAAGTAGCTTCATTTCTCCCTTCCTTAGTTTCCTCATTGGAAAATCATAATAATGTTCTCTTTATGACGGCTGCAGAAATGAAGTAATTACTGTTAAGGAAAGAGGCCAAAGATGGCAGACCTTTTTTTCGTATTGCTCTAATACCTGTGTAATAGAGCTGTAAAATAATGTCTCATTCAGTATTCACTTGCAGTCTTATGCCCAAGTAATGGTGTTGAAGAAGCATCCGTCAACTTTCAAACCCCTGAGTGTCTGGGGTTCTTAGAGAGGTTGTGAAGAATCACTCACTTTGGAGGCTCACACACACTTTTATATAATTTTTTTCAGGGGTTCTTGGATGCTTGTGAGAAAGGCCCCCTCTCGGGTCACCGGATATCTGGGGTACGATTTATCATACAAGATGGAGCGCACCACATGGTAGATTCCAATGAAATCTCTTTCATCCGAGCCGGGGAAGGTGCACTTAAGCAAGGTAGGATAAATCTCTTGAATTTTGCTCTTTGTAGGACATTAGGGATGGGGGTGGGGTGGGGGTGATGAGTTCTTGTGGAAAACAACAAAGCTCCACTTCTCTTATCTGTTTCTTGCCTTTTAAAAAAAAAAAAAACAACTTTGATCAATCTTGGGAGTCTATCACCTGTGCCTTTTGTATACAAGCCAAGAAGAGTCAGAATTTCAAAAAAGCATTTTTTATATAAATTCCCTGTGGTCTTGTTCTAATTTTTAAGTGATTTATGCAAAGGGCAGAAAATACATGATTACCCATGAAACGGACTTCTTTATATCTGTGGCATTGGGGACATAGAAAATGCTCATCATTTGGCAAAGAAGTATAATGACCCTCCTTATAGGAGAGACAGCTTTGTAGTATGGCAGAAATCAGAAACCTCTCATGCATAGACTCATTTACACTAGAATCCTCAATTGCCCAGTTTTTCTTTTTGTAGTGGACTTTTATGAAAGAAAGAAATGACAAGAAAGACACTTGACATCAGAAATGTATCTAAGCCAGCCACTGTGAGGCTTTGTGCTGAGGCACAAAGGTTCAATCTCCTGGACCTAGCAAGAGGAAAAGAATGGGTTAGATCACATGGGGAATTTGTACAACACATTCAGGGCTTCCGGACTTCTCCATGCCCTAAGGCCTGTGGCTGAGTCCTGGAAAACGCTTCACAAGGGTCGGAAGTGCGGGTGACCCAGAGACAGGCTGTGGTGCGTTAATAGTGATGACTGTCATGAAACATG